TACAATGTCAGTTTCAAAATCACTGTGTGGTGCGTTTTTATATATTTCAGTTGGTATCAGAGCCAAACTGCTTAAGTTATTAGCAGGATCCTAATGGAGTTTCCCAGAGAAGAACTGTCAAGCACCAGGCCCCTTGCTCTCTTTGGTACAAATTTCTCCTACTGGAAAGCTAGAATGAACATATATATATTTTGGCACAAGGAGAAGGAGTTTGGGAAGCCGTTGAAGAAGAATGGAAGAATCCAGTTAATGATAAAGGTAATAGAAAACCTAAAACAGAATGGAATGAAGAAGAACGAAGAAAATATAATTACAATTCAAAAGCAATGAACACCATCTATGGAACAGTAAGTGAAGATACTTTCAAACTAATCGCTACAACTAGCATAGCCAAAATTACATGGGATATATTATGTAATCATCACGAAGGGAACACATTTGTCAGGAAATCCAAATTACAAATGATACAGACAGATTTTGAAAACTTGAAAATGGAAGAAGAAGAAAACATCACTCAATTTAGTGTCAGAGTTTTAAGCATCTCTGGAGATGCGTCTAACCTAGGCGAACCTATTCCTGAACATAGGCTCGTCAAAAAGGTCCTACGTTCCCTACCTGAGAGATTTATGATAAAGGTTACAACCATCCAAGAAAACAAAGATCTAAACACCTACAAACTCAGTGATCTAATGGGAAGTCTTCAAACATATGAGCTTGAGATACTACAAAAAAGGGAAAAATAATGACAAAGGAATTGCGTTCCAATCAAAGCAGAGAGAGAGTCCAGAAATTGATACCGAACCCATGGAACAATCAATTGCTCTCCTAACAAAGAATTTCAACAGAGTTCTCAAAAAATTCAACAAATTTAGAAACAAAAGTGCTTCAATCAATCAAGGGAACTTCCCAACCGGACAAAATCAATCTATTTCAAAAGAAAGGGAGAGTCCAAAACCTGGAGGAGTTCAGTGCTACGAGTGCAAAGTGTTTGGACACATGCAGTCAGAATGTCCAACATACTTTAAAAGGAAGAACAAAACATATGTGACAACACTAAGCGATGACTCAGATAGTGAAGAAGACACCAATACTAATTTCGTAGCATTCACCACAAATCATGAGAATGACAACGGAAATGAAAATGATATGCAAGAACTACTAGAGTCATATACCCAACTGCATGCTAAATGGGAACAAATCATCGAAGTGAATCTAGAGCTCATGCAAGAAAATCAGTTTCTAAGAGGTGAAAACGAGAGAGAAGAAAAATGCCTCAAAGAAACTCAAAGTGAATTATTAGAATCTAAAAATAGAGAGGCCAAACTGTTACAAGAAATCAAGGTACTAACTGAAAGGCCTAGATCTCCAAACTCAGCTTCTGAAGAAAGCTACGTACATGAAGTTCCAGAGGTGTCACAACATCACTTCCAACATCGAAGAAGAAGAAGAATAATATGCTATTACTGCCATAGATTGGGACACATAAAGGCGTACTGCTTCAAAAGACAAAATGATCTATGTTACAGGCAAAACAACAGAGATTGGGCAGTACAAGGCAAAAATAACAGCAAGAAAATCTGGGTACGAAAAGATCAGAATGTAGCCTACACCTCAAAAACTAGCAAAGAACAAAACGTATGGTATTTTGACAGCGGGTGTTCAAAGCATATGACTGGAAATCCGGAAAACTTGGAAAACATTCAGTATAAGAATGAAGGACATGTTAACTTTGGAGATGGTGGAAAAGGTCAGATCATTGCAAGCGGCATCTTGAATGTCCATGGGCTGCCTAGGTTGCCAAAAATCCTCCTAGTACAAAGTCTAAAAACAAATCTAATCAGCATAAGTCAGCTTTGTGAAGATGAACTCAATGTAGAATTCTCTAAAGACAATTGCACTGTGTTTAATCAGAATCACAAGTGTGTCATGATGGGAAAAAGGTCCGCAAACAAATGCTATACATGGAATGGTGACCTATCTGGTTTACAGACAACCATCAAGCAAAAACAATCACGACACCAACATATGAGACACATAAATTCTCATGACACCAAAGGGGACCAATGAATATTCCTAGGTTATTCATAAAAAAGTAAGGGCTTTCAGTGTAGACAGTACAATGGAATCCATGAATGTGGTTATTGATGATACAATCTCAATAATAACCACTACTGATGACGAAAGTCCTAGAGTTGTTGAAACAACTGTTCCAACACCTCTGACTACTGTTATGCGAAACAGAACCAGATGAAGAAAATGATAAAAGGCAATCTATTGATTTAAAAAATCAGAAAAATCCTCCTCTGAAAAATATCATAGAAGATCTCAATCAAGGAATAATGACTAGAGAAAAGAAACAAGATCACCACAAATTTCAAGAAGGATTTAAAGAGTATAAGAAGATTGTAGATATGACTGGATTCACAGAGGAGAAGATTCAAAGGTTGAAAGTTAGGTCAAATCGATTGATTAACCGCACACAACAGATTGAGCCAACTGGCTGGAAGGAGTTTTGCAGGCCGGTCCGCAATGTCATTCATGAAAGTAGGGCATTGGATATCAATACACATGTTATATTTCCACTTGGTGAAACTGCGGCAGCGATTCGAGGAGAAAATGAACTCTGGCTTGCCATGGTTCTTCGAAATAAATTATTGTTGGGCTTAAAGCCTGCACAACTTGCTATTTTTTATGGAAGTCTAGTTTCTGAAGGGATTAAACTTTGGCCTTCAAATAATAATAATAATAATAATAATAATAATAATAATAATAATAATAATAATAATAATGATGGTTACATATATGAACCCTCTGCCATTGTCTTGGATGTCATCAACTTATTAGAAGAACAAAGAACCTCAGTTCTCGAACTTCAAGAGAAGCATGCAGTAAAGATACCTTGCTGCTTGGATAGCCAATTTTCTGGCATGGTTGAAGCTTGGGCTTCTGGTTTAACTTGGAAGGTGATCGTGGTCATCTTCTTCCACAAAACCACCCATTCAGATCACTCCATCTCCTATCGAAACACTACCAGAAAGCAACAATGATGAAAACCAGTCAACAATCAAAACTGAAATTACCTCGAAGGGGAACCACATCCCATCATAGCGGCATCGGAGTCTTCTCAAATCCAGTTCAAATCGAGGATGATGGCCCTGCAACGATCATTAAGGATCTTGTTCCGATTTCACATGTATCCTTCCAAAATATTCAAGATGAACGCAAACCACCTCTAGGTAATCCAAGCCTTCCCACTGTAGTCTTTGAAAAACCGCCAAACCTTATGCCAATTGCGGTTGATTTAGGGGATAATCACATCATGGACCCAAATGATGATGTTTGTCTATTAGTTTTTGCCCTAAAAATAGGAACCCGACCCACCTTCTACAGATAGCTCTGACGAGACTATCCATAGATTTTCTGAGGGAGAGAAGGAACCAGAGGAAAAGGCAAACTGGATTCCCAAAGATTCAAGCGAGGAATCAAGCTATTAAAAAAATAATAACAGATAAATAAACCAAGAACCCGTGCTAGTCACCAAGAAAAAGAGAAAAGGAATCTTTTTAGCAAAAAAGGGGGAGAATATTTCGTTATGAATAGCAACATATATAGCGTTATTTTGCAAGTTGGGACATAGTTGTTTTTTAACAATTCATACTCAAAGATAAGCACTCACCAATAATAGAGATACATGGAATCAATTAAGGGGGAGATGAGTCAGAAGTCAAAACTTTTTATGGAATCAAGGTTTTTGCCAAAAATTTGACAAAGGGGGAGAATGTTGACTCAAAGTGTTTTGTCAAAGTTATGTGCAAAAAGAATTCCAGTTCTATAAAGGAATACCAGTCATAAGAGGAATAGCTAATGAAGAATACTAGTTCTAAAGGGAATTGTTATTGAAGTTTTTTCTAGTTCTAGTTTGATTAGGAATAGCTTTGTTATTCACGAATCTGTTAGGAGTAGCTACTATAAATAGGGATTGTCTTTTATTGTAGAATTCAAGCTTTCAAGATCCACTACTGGAAATTATGAAATTTCCGATCACCTGAAAGTGTTTTTAAATCAAGTCGAAAGTCTTGTTCCGACCACTTTTGGTATCCGAAAAAACCTTTGTTGCTATTTCCGACCACTTTTTGGACTTTTTGGTATCAACTTAATTTAAGATCATTTTCAGGTGGTCGGAAATTCCATAATTTCCAGTAGTTATCTAACTTGTGAGGTACGAGAGTCATTGAGAAGAAATACCCAAATCCCCTAGAAAGTAGTACATGTGTTTAGGTTTCAATAGTTCGGTAGGAAAGATCATTCTATTGTGTAATCTCAGGTTCCAAACAGTGTACTTTAAATATTAAGCTTTTAGTGGATTTAGGCAAATTCTCAAATTGAGAAGTGCCTCGCAGATTAGGGTTGTTTGCCCGAACTGCGTTACAAATCGTTTGTGTTACAACGTCAGTTTCAACATCACTGTGTGCTGCGTTTTTATATATTTCAAAAACAATTATGGCGCCTTTTGTGATATGTCTTATAAGATCTCTCTGCAGACGGCGTATCCAAATCGCGATCAACAAATACTCTACCGCCGTTTCTTGTAAACCCACGCGATGAGCCTTGGGACGCATGCGTCGAAGAAGATGGCTGGAGCCGATCGCCGGTTTGAGGTCCGCCGGCGCTGAAAATTGCGAAGACACATCTCGGCCGAACCGGTTTTTTAGAGCAATGTGCTGATAACGTGTTAAACTGAAATATCAATGAAGAAAGGAAGAGAAAATAGACAAAGAAGAGTATTTCTTATTATCATCATCAATCTCTGTACAGCATTAATGGTATATATAATCTCTATCATAATAGTCTTTAGGACTCTTACAGTATTAGCACTCCTACAATATTAAAAATATTAAACCAGAATAATGTGCACATAAGATTTTAAAATAACATATTTTTAATTCGATTAGAATCTTAACATTATTAACTTTTATGTAATATATTAGATATGAAGAAAATAAGTGAATTTTAAATAGTTTTATATTTATAAATTGAAAAATAATTGTATTACGGACTTATGGAATACAGACATGCTGTACAAATAATCAATTGCATATCCAAAATAAATTATCAGCCTCCCCTAAAATCAAAGACTGGAGGAAACTTCTTCTGCAAATGTCTTCTTCACCTGGGACCAATCCATTTTATGTACTGAGAACGAAACCAATCTGGCTGAATCAGTTGGTTCTTCTTACTAAGGAGATTCCAGTTGGATCACCACCCCATTCCTCAAACACAACCACAAGATTTCCAGTTGGTCTCAACCACGATCGCGGCACATGATACCTGAAATTAGCAGTTATATCTACTGGATTAAACGCTTACCACCAGGGACGGAATCAGAAACTCGAGTTGGGTCCGATGTAATAAAAAAAATTTACAATGTTAGTCGACATTATAATTAATCGTACCATATTATTATATATACCATACATTATTGTGATTATTATTGATAATAATTTCTAATTATACTATCTGTAATAAAGTATGAAATGCATAATTATATGAGTATTATCAACGCGGATGTCGATCATTACTTTAAAAATTTTTCACATAACACAATAATAATAAGAGTAATATCAACAACAACAACAACACTTATTTAAATATATAGATTGTCAATTCTTATCAAATTAAAAGTTATGTTTTTGTCACCAATTTTTTTTTCATAATTAATTGATATTCATTTTACTGATTAATTGAATATTTCAAAATTTGAGAAATAAAGACGAAAACCAAGATCACGAATTAAATAATTAATATTAATTTCTGTAAATTTCAAAACTAATCATTTAAACTAGCAAATGTATATCTTAAAAGTGTAAATAAATCATTAAAACACACAATAAATCACTAATTAATTAATCAACATAATTAATAAAACTAAAGCATATATTTCAGTTTTCTAAAAAAAAAAAAAAAAAGAAGCATATATATCTCAAATTTGGAAATTTTTAAATTAAATGGATACTTGATCCCTCTATTATTAAAATCTTGATAAAAGAGATAAGATTAAAAGAAAAAAGGTGACTTTAATTATTTGATTTATTTCTTTTTATTTAATGAATTTGAACTTTAATATATATTTTGAGTTCATTAAATATAAACATAATAAATTGTTTCAAAAGAAAAATATTAGAGGGGAGCACGGGGTGGAATGTATTTTATTCCTACTATATCAATATATACATACATATTTGCTAAAGTAATTTAGGGTGAGGATAGGGGTGGGGTGGGGGTTGGGGGTTGGGGAGGGCCAAGCCCCCCTATCCCCAAGGTAGCTCTGTCTCTACTTACCACTTCATCAAAAGTGATAACTGATAAGCAATGTGCCACTTATTGAATACACACCAACGACAAGATGCTGGACTTGGCCTGCTAGTGCTGCCTAAGTTGGTTTTCTTGATGGCCAAGTCTGGCATCAACACTCCTAGTTTTCTAGCATTCTTTGTGGAGTGGATGAAATTGAAGCACGAGTTCCATCTCAATTAAAAGACTAAGTTGATATTTGGATTGCATATTTATGTTTATATATTATATACTTAACTCGTCCCCTTACGTATGCGAGCTGGTTACTTCGAACATGACCTTTGACCTTGGGTTGGATATACCAAATTGAACTATTGAAGTATGTGTTTTATCTTAACTAAAAGCCTAAACTTATAGTGGATGTTTATATATTATATGCTCAACTGATGAAAGATGACTAATGACCTAATAACTTATGCTTACCATCTTTGGGATGGCTGTCCACAACTAGTCTGGCATTTCTTCTCACTATAAGTTCCAGCATAGCTGCACCCGCCGCAGCTTCCATGAGCGGTATATGCAGGCCAGTGGCGTCCTACGCCTTCGCCATTTATCCATATCTGACCTTTCCCCATGCTGCTCATGTCTAAAGCCAGCGGATCGTTTCCTTTAGGCGCATTAAACGTGGCCTAGAGATATCATAACCCAATTCAGGATCATACAATTAAGCTTGGGCATATATCATGCTTTTGTTATTCCTATATTGAAACTTGGAAGTGAAGTGATACACTGATACTAGCACGAGTTTAGTATAGTTTACCTTGTACCAAGTTAGTGGCTGCTTTTTAGCCAAAAGCGAAGCTTCCCATTCGACAGAGGAACTCCCGCTTATTGTATTCAGGCTTAGCGATTCGCCTTTAAGACCAACCTGTAGTGAACAATCAAGGAGTGTTCAGTGGCCTAATTGCATTTTTTTCGTTCAGTGACCTAATTGCATTTTCAGGTTACGTTCAGTGACCAATTTGAACCTTATTCCAAAAAATTAAGCTGGGAAACGAACCTGGTAAGACCATCTCTGCTTTGTCAAGTCTTTTGTTCCCTCGTTAAGACCACTCAACGAGACTGGACCAAGAACTCCAGCGTTCCATCTCTCGAAATGTGGGCCAACGTTCTTAAATGGATGAAATATGTCACTGGTTATCACTTATCAGCTCGAACTTAAAATAAAACTCGAAAGTGCAAGTTGAACACTAACCGGGAGACCAACAGCGACGTTAAGCAGGGAAATCTTGTTCGTACCAGCTCTTAGTTTTACATTGCCAGTATATGTTACTTTCGGATTGTCCAATCCTCCATATACAGTTCCTATCAGAACGCCAGAAACGACGCTGAAATTCGAGTAAATAAACACAGATAGACAAGAAACCCGCATTCTTAAATATGATCCAAGTCCTAATACCTGTCGATTGACCATTAACAAAAACATGCAACACATGACCGGCAGACAAAACTGTTAGAACCGGGTACTTCCCGCTCTTTAGAAATCCTTCGTCGGAATCAATGTTCACACTGGAGCAACCGAGCAAGCAAGCAAGATCATATTAGTGTTAGACGATGTACCATGTTGAGCTGAAGATTAGATTCGGGAAAAGCTAGAAGAAATTATACCAAACAGCTATCAGGTAACAGCTAATTTACCACACCTTTCTACAATCAACTAATGTTATCAACTAGTTATACCCTCTAATTAACCCAATCAGCTAACAGTTAACAGCTATCAGCTAACAGCCATTTACCAAACAGGGCCATATATAAATACGTACTCTGTCATGTACCACAAATAGTCTGAGGAGTCTCGGGTTACGTTTATTTGCTCCCATAATCTATTACCCACAAGCGTGTCCCCGTCACCTGAAGTCGGACTTTCTTCAATGTAGGACTGCCAAGAGAAACCACCCACAACTGGTGTCATCTTAATCTGTGAGCTTTGGGAACTAACCTGCAGCGTTATATTAAATATTAATGATTCCGGTTTACCAATTGGGAATAAGAATCGAGTGAAGAAATTTCATGTTAGCAAACGAGGGTTCTTATTATCACCTTTGCGGTGTTGTAAGCAACCGTCTTGCAGTCGGGTAGAATACTAATTGACCAAGGAGGCAGGTCGTGTTGCTTATTCCAAAACGTTACTTTTACTGAAGATTGGGGGTTATAGTTGGAAAGAAATGCAGCACATGCCCCGGATTTTGATCGAAAGACATGAGCCTAGCAATCAAAATCAGGAAAAGTCAGTCAATATATTGATTAAAAAGATGATTGAAGGACCTATATATCTGTTAAGAGTCCACATTGATAAAATAAGAGAGAACATATGGGTTCATAACGCCATGGGTTAGATTAGTTAATTGGTTGGATTTAATATTTTAATGTGGTTTACCTCTTGATTTTCTCCAAGCGAGGTAACTGCCGGATATGATGACAGTAAAGCCGGTTCTGCAAGCTTGATAACTTTATGCAAATCTCTCAGGTGCCCGTATTTTGGTTCATTGGGAAGCCCTAATACGTTACGGAGATCAAACTATCAGTACAAGCGCCCATATATCTAAACGAAATTAGGAATTAGTTCTATCATAATATAATCTAGCTTGATCCTTGTACATTTTCTAGTCTAGATATGTGCAAATACGATGCGAATTGTATCTATATATGCACGCCTAGTCCTCGAGATGTCATCACATTGAGCTATATATTGCGTGTTCTTGAAATATCATACCATATTCATCTAGCGGAGCATCATAGTCATAGCTAGTAGCAATGAAAAGAGCTGCAGCTGTCCTTCCAAAATTCGTTCCTCCGTGGTACTGAAGCCACCGGATACAAGTAAATCGAATAAGGAATTTTCCGGGAGATCTCTAAACTATCAGAATAGTTACTCGAAATGAAAAAAAAAATGGCTAACCATGTAATAATTGACGAACGAGCCATTATTCTGGATGAACCTTGCAACAGAAAACGCTATGTCTTCTGCGGGTCTTCGGTGAACTGGACCACCAAACTGTGTATACCTGTAGTAGAACGTAACCGAAACATAAGAAAGTTGGATAAGAGAAGAAAGAGTAGAGTCTCTCGAGATCAGACTTGCCATCCAGTCCAGAGTTCGGTAAACATTTTGGGCTTATATGGTTTGTTGGGATGGAAGTTCTCGCAGTAGTATCCATTGCAGGTATCAATCTGAAAAAGTAGTAAACCAGTCTGGGATTTAGAAATATCAGAATAAAATCCTGTCCCCGAGACAAAAATTGACAAATTCGTAAGGTTAAAGATAAGCAAAACCGGTATCTGCTAAGGACTGGAGTACAGACTTGAAAGGTATATCAAGAAAACCATATTGGAAAAGTAAGTGTGAAAGTTTTGTGGGACCTTCAACTAGTAGACAAGAAACAACTGTCTAGCTTGACCTATTTAATGGCACTCCAAGTGGGAATTGCACTTTTTCAACAAGTATTTAGCAGATTTTTCGGCACAATAAATGAAGACATTGAAACTTCAAAGCATCGTAAAACAACTGGAAGAGACAGATCCAGATACTGTCTACTGAACTAGTGAGCTAAGCCCGTGCGGGCACAGAAGAAACAGATAGCTTACAATAGGATCCGGAGCGTCCTCTTGTTTACACATAATCCAGGGAACACCGGTTTTCAGACCTACAGCCATCTGCCCCGCCCATTTCGTGTAAGCCTTACCCGGAGCACCAATTTCCCACTCCACTGGTCCATACTCATTTTCAATCTGCAGCAAAGAACTCGCACGATTAATTTGAAGAAAACATTGTAATGGAAGAGAAGCCACTAACATATCTTCTAACCTGACTCATAATTATCGGTCCACCCTGAGATTCAAACAGTTTTTCTGACTTCATCATGTTCACAATTTTCCCGACAAATCCTTGCATAGCCACCTTGGAATCATAGTAAAACCAAAAAACCGGCAGCAGTTAGGAAAGAAAGAAGCAACGTAATAGTCTGGAATAGATAACGAACAAATGAAGACGACAAAACCAACCTTGAAAGGCTGATTGTCAGTTCTGAATTCGATCCCGGGCACATATTTTAGCCAAATAGGGAATCCCCTGCCCCAAACCAAAACACAACATTCAATTCCACAAAAACTAAACATTCATTAAGTTCCAAATTCGATCCCGGGCACATATTATAGCTTATGACTGTAGTAGCTAAATTACCCAAAATTCCATTCTCCACAAATGTATGGGCCAATGCGGAGATGAACATAAAGCCCTGCTTTCTGAGCCAGTTTGATGAACTTAACCAAATCATATCTCCCTTCAAAATTGTACTGAAAATATAAAATTTGAAAAAAAAAAAAAAATTAGTTTTCAGAAACAGATAATATAATAATAGCAGAGTTGTAGAATTACTTTTCCAGGAGAGGGTTCATGCCCATTCCAAAAAACATAAGTCTGTATAACATCCAAGCCCCCATCTTTAGCCTTTTGCATAAGACCTGGCCACATCTACAATCACCAGAGGCTCAAACTTTCAGGAATTGAAAAGAAGGAACAATAATTACAGCTAAAATAACTAAATAAGAAATACCCATTTGTTAAAAAAGGCAAAGAGTGCAAGAACAAATATTTACACAAAAGAAGACTAGTCCAGACAAGTGTTTGGTAATTTTATGAGCTACAAAAGAAGCATTTCAACAAACAGAAAAATACCCATTTCTCCCCCACCCCTCCACACCCCAAAAAAAAAAAAAAAAAAAAAAAAAAAAAAAAAAAGAAGTTATAGTTCAAAGAAGTGCATTGGTGGTACCTGAGGAGTGCTTCTTGGGTAGTGAATAGAGCCAGAGATGAGAATCCTCCTCTTCCCATTGATGATAAATGATCTACCATCATAGGAAACACTGCCTCTCACTGAACAAAAAGCCAGTGAGGATAAAACCAACACAAACAGAACCAAAAAATGGTTCCTAACTTTCTTGATTCCCATTGAGGAAAAATGAAGAATAAGAAAAAGGCAAGAGTGGTTTAATTTGTCCTTTTTTTCTTCTCTTTTTCTTACTATTCTCCTACAGAATTTCTCTGTGCAACAGCACACACAGAGGAAGAATGAAGCCTGTGTTTTGTCTTCTTTTCAGAATGCATATACAAATATAGATATATATTTACTTTATATATATAGATGGTTTTGCATGTACGAATTATGATAATGGAGCTGAAAAGTGAGTGAGGAAAAAGAAATTGAGTGAGCTTCCATTTCTTTCTTTATAAAGGCTTTGAGGGAAGGAAAACTGGAAAACTGGACCACAGGGGCTCTGAAAATTCCTGACACTCAGCTTAATTAGATATTTATACTCTTTATTGCATTTTTTTTTACTTATAACAATAGAGCAAATTGCACTTTTTTCCCTAAATTATAATAAGGTAATTGTTAAATTTGTCTCTAATTATTGGTTGTGCTCACTTTTCATTTATAAGTTATCATTAACGTTGTACTTTTTGTCTTTTTTTATGAATTTTTTGTGCTTACTTTTCACCCATAAATTATACTAACGTTGTAAATTTCGCGGTAAATGTTTGTTAGTAAATAAACAAAAAGTGCAATGTCAATGACGGAGAAGTGAACACAACAAACAATTAAAAAAATTTTACAATTATTCTATAATTTAAGAACGAAAAATACAATTTTACCTTTAACTTTATATATCCAAAGATGATGACAATTTTTTTTTTTTTTCGTTTTCTTTTTCTAATAAAAGAAAATGAATATATGAGAGTGTTCACTTTGAAAAGGAAATTATTTAATTCAGAGTGAAAAAGACAATTGAAGGGTTTTCTTGTATTGGAAGTTTTTGTTAAAGAAGATTGTTTTTGTTTTTGGTTTTTATTGTTTCCTTATGGGAAAAAGAAAAGTAGTTGCACAAATGTTTTGTATCTTTGGAAAAAATAGAATATCCGAAGAAATATATATATATATATATATATATATATATATATATATATATATATATATATATATAGTTGCACTCTGGTGCGAATGGCTCGTCTAGGAGCGAAATGCGAATGCCTGCTATTCGTGCACATGTCCAGATCTAATGGATGAGAAACGCTGATTTAAAAAATAATGCGGTGGCATTTTTGTAAATAATTGAACATCGAAGTGCAAGTAAAATGTATTACAAGTGCATGTAAAATGTATTATAGGTGCAAGTAAAATTTACACGGAGCATCAGTACTAAGTGCACCTATAGTTATAACTAGGTGCACCTATAGTTATAAGTAGTTGCACCTAGGTGCATGAATGTTTGCGGGTGGTTTCACGGGTACTAACTACCCTCTGAGGCCTATAATGGGTAGAAAAAATGGCGGTCAATTTTTTTAATCAAATGAATGGCTCAGATTAATTAGATTTTAATTTTTCCTTAAGATTTCCTAATTTATCCTTAATGAATATGATTATCCGTTAACTTTTCCGTTAATTTATGTTAGTTCACTCTTAGGTTTGAACCACATCCCAATCAAGGTTGGCATAATTAGTACTATGTTTTACTATTATTATATTAAATAATAATTTAGTAGCTACAACAAAAAAATAATACATATGCATTTCTTTAATTTAGAATTATGTGTCTACAATGTCTTTTTCTTTACATTCAAATTCATCAATTGATTGTATTCGCTACATTGTCCCTACAATGTCTTTATTAAAAAAAAATTATTCATTATCAATAAATTAATTAAGAGAAATAATTTTATTAGTTATATTGTCTTTATATTTCTCCAATATAACAATACTTTACATTCAAATTCATCAATTGATTATATTTACTACATTGCCTATTATCTTTTTTTGTGCACTATTTTTTAATTAAATATCAAAGTTATAATACAAAATAATGTTATATATTTATTTACCAAGTATTTTATTAATACCATGAAAAAATTTTAAAAAATATAATTCATAAAATTTTAACTACGGGATTTGTTGACAAAGAGATTATTAAAATCACACAACAAATTGAAGTGAGAACTACCTCGCAATGTCCTTGTTTGACAATCAACAGTTAGCGGTTAGTGTTAGCGAATTTGACCAACGAATTATATTAACGGTTGATAAAAAGATATTTGAAAAAATTAGCTGTTTAGATTAACATGTAAAATGACCTAAGGTATTAATAATAATAATAATAATAATAATAATAATAATAATAATAATAATAATAATAATAATAATAATAATAATAATAATAATAATAATAATAATAATATTAATAATAATAATAATAATAATTGTTTTAAAAAATAAAAAATATATATAAAAATATAATTACGCCAAACATATTAACTACTTGGGGATCTATTGACAAAAAGAGTATTCAAATCACACAACAAATTGAAGTGGAAAACTATCTCGCAATGTCCTTGTTTGGCAATCAGCGGTTAGCCCTTCAATATTAGTATATATTTAATATTTTATGCCCTAATTTTTATTTAATTTGCTCTCCCTTATGTCTCGTTTTTTTTTTTTTTTTTTTTTTTGAAAACCAATCTACAGATTGTATTAATGAATCAAAGTTGTAATAGTGTCAGGGGGGATAGAATCCCAGTACATAGCATGATCCTCAGTAAAAGCTAAGGAAGTTAAAATGTGAGCATGTAAATTAACCTGTCTAGAGACATAATTTAACAAAATACGACTAAATAAAGACATAAGTGTTCTGCATTGGTTAATTGTAACCCCAACGTATGAATGAATTGGTGAGCCTTGCTGCCGCATAGTAGTACTTAGTACCATGCAATCAGTGAGTAGACATACTGATGTGTCGTTCCTTCCTAGTAGCCAGGACAGTGCCTCCTTATATGCATGTGCCTCCGCCATAAAATGTGAGAAACAAAAAGGCAATTTGCTATTTTTTGCCGTTATGAAAGAGCCCTCTGGTGAAATTAGTACAATACCATACGTGGCCTCTCCAGTGTCCTGACGAAAACCCGCGTCCACATAGCATCTGAGGCTGCTGCCGTCCATGTCCGTTCCGGTGGGTGGCGCCGGAGACGGCGGTGCCTGGCGGTGTTGCGCAGCGCCGTATGCCTGCAAAGACGCGGCAGCCACTCTCCCGACATCGGCTGGCCGCATCATAGACCCCTTCCACACGGCTGGTTGCGGCTCCTCCAAATATGGTACAACACGGCTACCAATAACCGGGTGTGCTCCTCCGTTAAGACCGCCAAAGCCCCCATTAGCCATGTTGAAAAAGAATCTGTAATAATATTAGTGATAGGCAATTGTGTTATATTCCAAACAAGTGTAGAATATTCACAGAGAACTAAAGCATGTAACACATCTTCATGATCTAAAGCACACATTGGGCATGTTGGATCCACCTCTACCTTCTTTATAATCAAACTAGTTTTTTACCCGCATTGCGCGATTGGGATAATGCCCAATATTTTTTTTTTTAAATAAGTACTTTAAAGTATATCAAGACAAGATTATATAGGAATTGTTCATGCATATATAATTGAATGTTAAATTTGCGTATTTAAATAGGCAATTCTAAGTTTGCAAATGCAAGATAATATAGTCAAGATTGACTATAATTGTCAATAAAATAATTGTATAGGTATGGTTGAAACCAAATACGGGACATAAGGGAGAACAAATAAAAAATTAGGGCATAAAATATTAAATATATACTAATATTGAAGAGTTAATTGCTGATTGCCAAACAAGGACATTGCGAGATAGTATCTCACTTCAATTTGTTGTGTAATTTGAATACTATTTTTGTCAATAAATCCCCCAATTAGTTAATATGATTGGCTTAATTATATATTTTTTTATTTTTTAAGCAATTATTATTATTATTATTATTATTATTATTATTATTATTATTATTATTATTATTATTATTATTATTATTATTATTATTATTATTATTATTATTATTATTATTATTATTATTATGTCATTTTACATGTTAATCTAAATAGCTAATTTTTTCAAATATATTTTTACCAACCGTTGATATAATTCGCTAACGCTAACCGCTAACTGCTGATTGTCAAACAAGAACATTGCGAGGTAATTCTCACTTCAATTTGTTATGTGATTTGAATACTTTCTTTGTCAACAAATCACTCAAGTAGTTAAAATATTAAATATATACTAATATTGTTTGAGGAGATTCCGGCGGTAGGATTTGTGGTTAGAGTTCTATTAAGACTTTAATATTAGAATTGGATTAATGTTGTAGTTATAATTCTATATTAGACTTTAATATTAGAATTAGACTAACGGTGAACTAACGGTACTTAATGGAAAAGTTAACGGATCGGATAATCATATAATTAAGGATAAATTAAAAAATCTCAAAGAAAAATTAAAATTTGAACAATCTAAACTATTCATTTGATTTCATAATTTGACGGTCATTTTTTCTACCGAATGTTTATAATTAAATAAATATTTAAAAGTATATAAATGCAATATAATATATGAGAAGTTCAACATAAGTAATTTAATGTCTAATTTATTTATTTAAATATGTAATTCATAGTATATGAATACAATGTAATATAGGAGATTCATTATAATTGTTACTAAACTTTTTTTAAATAGTAACCAAGTATTTTTGTTGCAAAGGGTTCTAATATATTTAATGAATGCACATATATACAAGATCAATGAATGAATCAACGGTACCAGTCCTTTAGGTGTTTTGCTCTGTGTTCATTTAGTTCAATCATTATTGTTGAATAAATTATTATGGATAAAGAATTGGAAGAAATTCCTAATTTAAGGAATTTAGATGTAGTAATACTTTAAAAATTTTAATTATAATGTAGCCAAAGATATTAGACGATGAGTAAATACGATGTAACCCAAAGATCAAAATGCTAAAGAAAGTGTTTTGGTTATTCAACAGTTTGAAGTAACAATTTGTTCCAAACCATTGAAAATACAAACATTGCAATTTACAATATTTTTCACTTAACGTTTTTGAGAATGATTTCCCCAAAACACATCTATATTTTTAAAAAAATTATTATTAAAACTGTAAGTGTATAAATGATACACATAAAAAACCCCTAATATAAATTGGCTAATTTAATTATTAAAGGGTTAGAATTATTTAATGTGAAATACTTTAGGTTATACTCTTTGGACCATTTTCCATCAACTAATAATTAATTTGAATGGCTACAATTAATTGGAGAAATT